GCCTCAGTATTATAATGATTTTTGTTGTTATTGTTGTTGTTAATTGTTTATTTGGTGTTTTCTTGATGATTAGTTTTTGATACATTTTTTTTTGCAATAAAAGTTATAGTGACAACAGGCCTTCCTCCCAATATCACCATGTTTGGGTCACAATAGCTTTTGCAAAATTACATTAAATGACTTATGTGCAAAGTGACAGATAGTTTTCTTGACAAAAATTATCTGATGAGATAGAGGCTTTGTTTTTACTTGTGGGTTGAGAGGGTGCAATTCATCATGTTGAGAAAGCATAACAAAATTTATGGTTGTGAGTATAGAAGCTGAGACCCATCTTATTTGGCCAGCAGGATAAACAGAGAACAAGAGATACCATCTCTCATCTCTATTTTCGCCATTTTCTTTTATCCAGTCTATAAGCATAGTCCAAGGAGTAGCACTGCCTATCTTCAAAGAAGGTTTTATAGCTTCATATAAACTTCCTCATCATCACACCCAAACATTTTCCTTATTAATGCCCTAGACATATTATAATTTAGTATAGTTTGTAGTCAGAGATAACCATCAGAGTTCTGAGGTTCATGGCTGACTGTCATGGATAATGGTGTGGTATTCTTTTATGGAAATTTCAGCATTCATAGTTTGTATATTCAGCCTCATATTACCCAAAAGGTGAGTCCAAAATGTGAGTATAAGCCACTGGGGAAATTCATTATTATTAATTCATTATTAACCAAGTTTAAACTTTGATCAGGTGATTAGAGAAATGGCTCAGTGGTTAAGAGTACTTACTGCTCTTTCAGAGTACCCAGGTTCAGTTCCCAGCACCCACATGGCAGCTTACAACTATCCAGAACTCCAGTTCCATGGGACCTGACACCCTCTCTGACCTCAGAGGGCACAAGAGCCACATGTGATAACCACAAATGATACACAGGCAAAACATTCATACAAATAAAATAAAGTGATCTAAAAAGAGAAAAAAGTTATAAACTTTGATCAAAATATATCCAAGCTTTCATTGACTCTAATCAAGTACAACTTCAAATATTGGATAGGGCTCTTATGGATTTTATTCCCTTTGGCTCCATCACCCAAGTTCCATACTAGTGTTTAAAACTTTTTCTTCTTTCTAGACTTATCAAAACATTATCAGTATTTTTGACTATGTTCAACACCACCTGTGAGATCCTAGAAGATCCTAACGTTATGAGATAACATACCAGCCTTCACCCTAATTCACTATGAACTCTTCAAGATTTCAATTTTGCCCTTAAGAATCATATTTTCAAACAGGCTTACAATAGCAAACATAGACTTATACCTATGGAGCAGCTCTCAATCCAAACAGAAAGCAGTTGGTTAGACCCACTATCAACTTACCTCTACAACAGTCGGTAATTCTTGACTGCCTGGTTGATGTTGCAGCACACAGAGTCTACAGCTGAGTAAGACTTCTGATGAAAATTTTACTAAAGCAGCCTACAGAACAGTCTCTAGAAATATGAGGGCTAGCCAGCTGGACAGAATCTTCCAGCCAATTCCTAGCTTCATTTTCATATCCTGCAACCCAAAGATATGGTACCTTCAGCAATAAGATCTTACCATCCAAACATGGTAGGCAATGAGCTGACATTACAATGCTTTTATTGTTTTGTGTGCTTCTTTGGTCTTCCTGATCAACTACTTCAAGGGAGACAGCTTACTCTGGCATTGGGATGTCACTTTGTGTGTGTGTGTGTGTGTGTGTGTGTGTGTGTGTGTGTGTGTGTGTGTGTGTTATTTGAATTAGAAACAAGATGATTTTACATGTTAATCCCAGTTCCCTCTCCCTCCCCTCCTCCCCTAACCGCCCCAACTAAAACCCTACCTATCATATATCCTTTCTGCTTCCCCTGGAGGGTGAGGCCTTCCATAGGGTATCATCAGAGTCTGTCTTGTCTTTTGGGATAGGGCCTAGGCCCACCCCTGTGTGTCTTGGCTCAAGGAGTATCCCTCTATGTGGAATGGGCTCCCAAAGTCCGCACCTATGCTAGGGATAAGTACTGAACTACTATAGGAGGTCCTGTAGACTTCTGAGGTTTCCTCACTGAAACCCACATTCCTGGGGTCTGGATCAATCCCATGCTGGTATCCCAGCTATTAGTCTGGGGACCAAGAGCTCCCTGATGTTCAGGTCAGATGTTTCTGTGAGCTTCACCAGCCTGGTCTGGACCCCTTTGCTCTTCACTCATCCTTCTCTGTAACTGGATTCCAGTTCAGTTCAGTGATTAGCTGTGGGTGTCTGCTTCTCCTTCTACCAGCTGCTGAATGAGGGCTATTGGGTAGCATATAAGTCAGTCATCAATCTCATTATCAGGGGAGGGCATTTAAGGTAGCCTCTCCTTTGTTGCTTAGATTGTTAGCTAGTGTCATCTTTGTAGATCTCCAGATATTTCTCTAGTGCCTGATTCTCTGTAACCCTAAAATGTCTCCCTCTATTATGGTATCTCCATTCTTGTTTACTTCAATTCTTCCCCTACTCAAACTTTCTGCTCCTCATGTCTTCCAGATATCATTTAATGTCACATATCTTCTAGGTCCAGCTTGGAAGATAATAAGCCATAGTAATGGAGCTACTGTGATTGTTTTACTTAATGAACATGATGTAGCACTCTTCTAAATAACTATGTTTATCCCTATAGATTAGAGTTGCCTTCAGCTTTTCTTTTTTTGGCCAGTTTTTTGTTTGTTTGTTTGTTTTGTTTTGTTTTGTTTTGTCAGAGAAGCTCTTACATATGGTGACCATAACTGAATAGACTCATATCATGATCTTGTCATTAAACCTAACAAATTGAAATGGCTCATAAAAACAAACAAAATATGAAAATAGAAAGGATACTAGATAAAAAGAGGAAGTAGAGAGCAGATATGTTAGGAAATAAGAGTTTACATGATAAATCATATTGTGTATACCTAGGAAATCATCATAAAGAAATCCATTATTGCATATAATTAATATATACTAAAACAATTTTTACTTTTCTTTTAATGGTCTAACTCCGAAACACTTTTGGCTTGGGTTGAAACTTGGAAACTTGGATCTATGCCAAATGTATTATGCTTATAGACTTCAAGTATAAACATAGGACCAAATGCTTGGATTCTACCTATGCATTGCCTCCAAGCTTCTTCAGCTAAAAATTCATAAACATTTACTGACATGTAAGGAAGGGATTTTTTGGGTCCAAACATTATCATCATCATTATTGTTATTATTATTATCATTATTATTTGATATTTATCACCATGGCGCTCTCTCTTTTTCTCTGTCTCTGTCTCTGTCTCTGTCTCTGTCTCTGTCTCTCTGTCTCTCTCTCTCTCTCTCTCTCTCTCTCTCTCTCTCTTTCTCTCTCTCTCTCGGTTTTTGAAGACAGGGTTTCTCTGTGGCTTTGGAGCCTGTCCTGGAACTCTCTCTGTAGACCAGGCTGGCCTGGAATTCACAGAGATCGACCTGTCTCTGCCTCCTGAGTGCTGGGATTAAAGGCGTGTGCCAACAGTGCCCAGCTAAGGCCATCTCTTGTGCTTTTTTCCCACATCAAACATTTGTAGGTAGATGAGAAGCCAGATTTTATGGAGGAAAATATGTCCATAATGTACATATAACCTTTCTCAACATAAAATTGTTTCCTTGTTTTACATTTTTCAGTGCTGGAACCAAATCTTGGTTCTTTTTTTTTTCCAGACAAGGTTTCTCTGTGTAGCTTTGGAGCCTATCCTGGCACTCGCTCTGGAGACCAGGCTGGCCTTGAACTCACAGAGATAAGCCTGCCTCTGCCTCCCGAGTGCTGGGATTAAAGGTGTGAGCCACCAACACACGGCCAAATCTTGGTTCTTAAGGAAAATATTTCACTGAAAAGAACAGTATTTATTTTAGGTCACTTAGAAGAAATAACTTACAAAATGCCTAATACATTGAGACACATGCAAAACACCACACAAAGGGTTGTTGGCAGACTGTTGTGTTTCTTCTGAGATATCATAAATATCATAATATAATATACAGCATACAATGAGCTTTTCATATTATCAAGACATGAAAACAAAAGAGGAACCAATTAAATGTGTTTTCAAATGAGAAAGAACACAAAACAAAGTCATCACACTAAATCATCTCTCAATGGTATCCTGCAAACTACCTGAAGTTCTGACCCTGTTCATTCTTGGTAGGCTGCACAGTATTGAATGCGGAGTCATGATGAACTTAGGGAGCAAACTGAGACCAGTACATGATGGAACGAAAAGGGAGACATAAAAAGTCTCTGAGATTGAAGTATAGAGAGCCATAGGTACAGAAAGACCTGAGGTAGATAAAGATAGTATTTAATGACAGAAAATTAAAAGTCAGACAGGGTAAAGTTCTTCATGAGTTGTACAGCTAATTGATAAAGAATCCAAGGTCTAATTGATAAGGAATCCAAGGTATGCATCACAAATATGACTCCAAGTTATCTTCAGGTAATACTTCCTAAAACATGTCGTCTCGTGCTACACATGTGTAAATGTTTGTGCTGGACTATCACAAAAGTATCACTTCTTTTATGCACATTTTTCTTTATAAGTGAGGTATTTGATATGATTATATGTGTATGGCTATATTAGCATTCATAAAACATTAACACAGGCATACATTTTAAATATACACAATTATGTAGATGTTTTTATTTTTGATATTATGATATCATTACATTTTCCCCTTCCCTTTCCTTCCTCCAAATCCTTGCATATACCCCTTCCTGCTCTTCTTCAAATGCCAAGTCACTATTGCAACAATGAACTAATCATTATTGACTTTATATCAGGACCATAAAATAAGCAACATTGCTATTAGTTGGAATACATTTTCAAGTACTCCAAGTAGCTTTCCAGTAGATAATCAAGAAGCATCATTATTTTAAAAGTTCTATAGATGAAATTGTGTCTAACACACATGATTAACATCTTTAAAAGTACCACAGCATTTTATATTTACCTGTCAGGGGAGATACCATGATCAGGAAGGTGGTTTTACCAGGGCGGGTGAGGATTATCCATTGCACTCTGGATGTGGTGACTCCTGAGATTTCCCCAAATGCAGGAAACTTGACTGCATAATTTGTGGTAGTAGGGGACTATCTTTTCTCTCTCCCCTAAAAATAAATAAATAAATAAATACTACATCATTTTATGCCATTATCTCAGCCTTCCCAAGAGAGAGTTCTATTTTTAATTTTTATTTAAATTAAAAACAATCTTATTTTACATACCAATCCCAGTTCCTTCTCCCTAATTTCCTGCCATTACCTCACCATCCCCCATCCCACCCTCTCCATCCTCTCCTCAGGGAGGATGAGGTCTCCCATGGGAGATCATTAAAGTCTGTCCCATCCTTTGGGGCAGGATCAAGGCTGTCCAGTGTATCTAGGCTGAGAGAGTATCCCTCCACAGGGAATGAGCTCCCAGAGCCCATTTGTGCACTAGGGATAAATACTGGTTCCACTGCCAGAGGCCCTATAGACTGCCCAGGCCCCACAACTGACACACAAGTTCAGGGGGTCGGGTTAGGTTTTATGCTGATTCCCCAGCTGTCAGTCTGTGGTCTGTGAGTTCCCTCTTGCTCAGGTCTGCTGTTTCTGTGGGTTTCCACAGAGGGAGTTCTATTAACACAACAATGAACTCAACCCTAGGAATCAAGAGGCAATTCACCAAAGCACTTTCTCACTGGAAAATACTCAGGTATGAGCTCAGTTCAAATATATTAGGATTTCTCTCATCTAAAATGATCCTCAGCAAAGAAAGTTGCTGTGTTTTGTTTTGGTTTGTAGCTAAGGAAAACTGCAAATAAAAGAAGGTTAATTGACCTAACCAGGACTATGAAGTTACAGGACAGACTCCAAGCTAAATGGGGGCTTGCCTTCCTGCAAATCCAGTGATCTATGCCTATAAGGCTAATTAATAGTAGCCTTATGACTAATTATACTGATTACAAGCTCCTTGGAGTTTGGAAGGCCTTGTAATCTGCTCACCTTCATTAAATGCTTCTTGGAAAAAGTAATGAGAGAAAGTAGGTTAGTAGCCCAGAATCGGTACCAGGTATTTCTGGATTAGAATTTTAGCTCACCCTTCCTCTGCATAACGTAGTCTTCTGCAAATAATTTAATCCACATACCTTATGACTCAGCACCTTCACAGCAATGCATAACACACTAGGTTTTATGATGAACAGTCACAAGCAAGGGAAGTACTGACTCTTGACAGAAGTTTGTCATTTGTTAAGTCAGTAAAAGAAAACAGAGTAAAAAGTTCACTTGTATATGCAGAGGGGGTCTGGGTAATATCTTAGACAAGATGACAAATGAATTGGGATTCAAAAAGAAATTGGAAGTTGCAAGCTCATGAGAAGGGGAAACTTCAAGATACAGTGAACACTGTGTACAAAGAGAGGTGACATAGTCATTAACTGGAAACCCCACATCAGCATTAATGTTTTATCCATCTCCTCACAGCAAATTAGAGGCCTTATCAAACAGTATTTCTGCTTAGAATAAAGGTTCATGAAGATGAGGATTATAATGAAAGGCCTGCTCCAAAGAAGGACAAATTTAAAATGGTCTTTTTGTGATTCACAACCTGTTTCATTTTCTACAATGAGTAGGCAAGGAAGGATTGTTTTTTGGCAATATTTTAACTGTCTAAAGGTCTTCCTACCTTTACTATTCAGAGTACAAATTCCTCTAGATAGGGAGTTGAGAAAATTAAGAGCCTCTTATAATGTTAACTCATGATAATTTTCTTCTTCCTGTGCTAACACTCTGGAATTCCAAGTGGCCTAGAATGGTAGGTATGAAGTACAATGTACAGAGAGCTGGGCTTGGAGGTATTTCAAAGAAGAGTCCCAGAGGAGAACATTGTTAGTGCCTGTAAAACACATTGGCTAAGTTGTTTTCAGCTTAATTTAGTGCTTTCAAAATTCAGGGGAATACTAATTGGCAACTTACCCTTCTCTATTCACCAAAGCCATTTGGTAGGAAAAATATTTAAATCTTACCAGTTATTATGTTTGTTGAAGTTATGGTGTACTTGCAAATACTTTAGCTTGGGAAGAGTTACTGCAGATGAATGGGTACATTTTGGTGATAGCCACTTGTTCTTCTGGATTAGCTTAATCTTTATGATGTTCATGTTTGCAGAAATAATACACAAGGTAAAACAGTCAAAAATGAATAGAAGGTTTTTCTATGGGGACTGTTTTTCTATCCAGAGGTTGATTCCCGTGTGTAAGACATTTCCATAAAACAGTTACATCTAGGTCACTAAGCACCTGTCTTTTAATGCTAGAAAATTTGATGTTCTGTTTCCATGGAGCCAAGAAGTGCTGGAAGATAGGATTGTTCCCAGATTACAGGAATATTTTAATCTTAGTGTTCTACTGCCATGAAGAGACACTATGGCAACAGCAACCCTTATAAAAGAAAACATTTAATTGGGGCTGGCTGGCTTCCAGTTCATAGGTTTAGTAGTCCATTGCAGGCAAACAGGGTGCAGGAGAGGTAGCTGAGAATTCTATATCTACATTGGCAGGTAGCAGGAAGAAACAGTGACACTGGGCCTGGCTTGAGCTTCTGAAACCCCAGAGCCTATCATGTGTGACATACTGCCTCCAGCAAGGCCATACCTATTTCAATAAGGCCACACCTCTTAATAGTGATACTTCCTGTACACCTATATGGCCTGGGCAATTTTCATTTAAACCACCACACAGAGGTCATGGATTTGAAAGTGTTGGGCAACTAGTGGGAGTTAGAGGGGGAGAATTTAAGGTAGAAATGACAATACAGCAGTCACATGTGAAGCAAACATACAAAAAAATGCATGTAAAACAAACTCCCCTGTAATTCAAGGGAAATTGAAGAAAGACATTGATTGTTCACTCAGCTCATATCTACTTTATATTATATCTCAAAGAAACCTGGGACAAGTCTTACCCAGTACCTGTGGCTCCTCCCAGCACTTCTCACCCTGCCCCCTACCCTAAACCTCTCCCCCCCTCAGGCTGGGCTTCCTCTTCCCTGCCCCTGAGCGTGATCCTATCTATATAACTCAGCCATTTCCGCCATGCTGATCTCTTGTCCTCTTGCCCCAGTCTACCTCTCTTTGTCAATGACTCCTCTCTTACTCTCTTTCCTCTCATGTCTGGTTTAGTCTTCTGGCCATGTTGAACCTTGACACTTCTCTCTGCCTGCTTTTCTTCCTTAAATCTACAATAAAAATCTTCATAATTTAGTCATGTCCTCCTTTCATTTCATTTTTTCATTACCTTTGATGACCATATTAGGGAAGTTTTATTTTGGAATTGCTTTCCCCCAAAAGAGTAACTTGTCCTGTTCTGTGTTCCACCCAAGAAATGGGATGTGCAATAGTCCAAATCAATTTGGTTTCCATATGAAGAAACTTATCATTAGATCTTTAATTGCAAGGAAAGACCATTCAAGTACTGTATATGCATTTCATGTTTGACTATGTACTTAGAGAAAAAGAGAATCAAGAGAATATGCATATGTGCATACATATATGGAAAGAAAAACAGAGAGAAAGAGGAAGAAGGAGGGGGGGAGGGAGAGAAAGATTAGGAAAAGCAGCTGATGTAAGTGAAGAAGGGTAATTAGACACACCTACTACAAGCCATAGATACCCAAGAATCAGTAACAATCACACTGACTCCATAGTCAGTTGAAGAAGATAATAATACCTATATTGTTAGCATTACTTTAAAAATGTAAACCATAATAATTTCCACAAAACCCTGAGTAATACATATTATCTATTATCACTTAATAGATACTCCATAAATGGCAGCCAAGGCAGAGAGAAAAAAATGAGGGAAAAAATGAAGAGCAGGGATGGGGAGATAACTCTCTTTATTCTTTTCTCCAACCAACTCTATATTTTTCAGAAATTAAGTAACAACAAAAGAGTGGAACACCGCCAGCTGTCAATGGACAATTTTAACTATAGATTTATCTATATATTCAAGTTACATAGCAGGCTATGGATGCCTATTGATTTTTCTGCTCTGAAATAGATGGTTTTGTTTAGCTCTGAAAAAGTGAACATTTTTTCTGACACCAACTGCTTGTTTAATAGTTTAGGAATAATCTATATTGCATTAAGAAGATGACTTATTACAACCCACCTTCTGTTGTCTAGTGAACTATTGATTTAAGGCAGTTTTGCCCTTCTAGAGCATCTAATAAATTGGTCCCAATCGTCAGTGGCATGTTGTATACTCATTCCTCACTGTATAAATGTCGGTCTTGCATATTTTAGAACACATCCTTAGATTTGTTTCCTTGACAAGATCCTTCCCTTTTAAACCTCTCTGGTGAAGCAGTCACTGATTTTTTTAATAACCCACATAAAATTTTTAGATAAGTAGAGGGCATCACAATCAATATTCATAGCATGATTTATCAGGACAAGGACTGTCTCACTGAGTCCTCCCTGTAAATCCAGGGAGTAGAGTAGTTAGCACAGTCATCGATCTCCTGGATATTTTAAACAGGTGTTAATGGGCTTGAAATGTGTAGTGGCAATGAATCACCTGCCTGTGATGTAGGTAGTTAGAGACTTTATTAGCTCAAATGCTTCAAATACCCTTTGCCTTTTCCTCCTTCCCTCCAACCCCCAGAGGCAGCCCTGTCCCATTCATCTGAACTCAGTGGCTCTTCTCATGAATTCCTCCTTCCCAGGAAGGTTTGGCTCTTGCTTGGCTGGAAAGTCCATTGATCTTTATTATGGATGCTGTGCCCTCCTTAATATCAGTGAGGACACTAATTTGAGTTTATACTATCTGTGTAATCCTTATTCATTTTCCCTACAGGCACAGTTTTCCGAGACAGATTATGTTCCCTTCTTATTCTAGATGACTATGTAAGAATTTGATTGGCATGTAGATAATGTCCAGGACTTTCTATGAAGTTCTCTACAATAAATGCATTTGTTTAATAGTTATGGGGTAATCTATATTTCATCAAGAAGATGACTTTTTAAAATTTACAGAAGTTGATAAAATGTATAGAAGTACACCAAATGAGTCACTAACCACTTTTAGGAATCTTAGATTAGATACCACAAAATGATTGTTAATTGAATA